TTGAAACCCCGTTTCAAGGGTGAAACCCCGTTCACCCCCCCTCCCCTCCCCCTCCCCACCCCCACCTTCCTGTACAGTGTCTACAGATCTCAGGATCATAAGGCAGGGTCATCATGTTCAAGGAAAATCAGTCAGTGACGGTCCTGTGTAAATGTCTTGTCACTTTCATTTCTCTTCCTCTCCTCTGTTGAAGCTGGGCCATCAGATGAAGGCACCTCCCTAGCCTTCATCATATCATCTGTGAAAGGACTTTGGAGCCTGACTCACAGCTTCCGCTCCACCCCACCCCATGCCTGACTTCTTCTCCTGGGCAACATAAGTGCCACTCATCTAAATATGTTGGATCATAGTCTCCTCGTATGGTCCGCCCCAGTGACCTTCACTTCCCTTCCACTTCAACAACTGCTTGATTGGCCCTACCATAGTCTCTGCAGTGGCCAGACTCTCCCTTTGAGACTTGAACTCTGTGACTTTCCTGGGTAACTGCTCCTCCCATCCACCCACCCTCTCCACACCCTCATACCCAGCAAACCTGCTCTAAGTCTCAATGAAACCTTAGTTATTCAACAAAGGCTTTTTGGAAGCATATAATTACTGAGCATAAGCAATGGGAATGAAACACTGAACCATCCACGGTCCCTGCTCTCAATGAGCTTATAGTCCAGGAGAGACACACAAGAAAACTGGCAATTACAGTAGGCTGAGACCTGAAGCATAAATAAGATCTAGGCAGTTGAAGATGGGGGTGAATGTTCCAGGAAAATCATGCAAATACCATGAAAGCAGGAAAGCACAGTGAATTTGGGGAAGTGCATATGAATAGCTCAGTATACAGAGCTTAGAGTTTTCCTTTTTTATGCTTTTTAAAAAATTTACATCCAGGTTAGTTAGCATATGGTGCAACAATGATTTCAGGGGTAGATTCCTTCCTTAATGCCCCTTATCCATTTAGCCCATCCCCCCTCCTACAACCCCTCCAGCAACCCTCTGTTTGTTCTCTATATTTAAGAGTCTCTTCTGTTTTGTCCCCCTCCCTGTTTTTATATTAGTTTTGCTTCCCTTCCCTTATGTTCATCTGTTTTGTATCTTCAAGTCCTCATATGAGTGAAGTCATATATTTGTCTTTCTCTGACTAATTTCACTTAGCAAGAGCTTAGAGGTTTAGAAGAGAATTTTTTCACTGCAATTTTTCCTCAGCTTTATTAAGAT